TTTTATTAAAACATACTTTGTTTTGTTTAAAGCAGAACTGGTTAAAAAAGGAAGCCATAAAATAAAAAATATAGTCTGGATTATGGAGAAAGACCAAAAACAAATTTATTCACCAATATACATTTTTGCATCTATAGTGTTTGTAAATATATTTAAAATAAAATAAAATGAAATAAAATTAAAATATGGCAAAAACAAGGAAATATTTATATATATATAAATACCAAAAAAAAAAAAATTATGTAAATTTTTGCTGACATTGTCAAGATACAGTCGAATTCAGCTAAAGGCACAGCCAAAACAACCAGCAAAATCCATCAACGGCTGTCAAAGGCACTCAACGGTGCTTAAGCCCCCTTTTACCGCTTGTTTTCCCATTTCGCTTACAGTGCGTGCGGCAATAAAGTTTCCGCATTTTTTATGGACTCTGTTGTTTATTGTCGTATTTAAATAAAAAAAACTCTACGTAAATAATATGTTTTCCTTTTTAATACCTCTTAATTTTAATATTTGGAATACGAGTTCTCAGTTACGGAAAGAACGAAACAACGAAATAACGAAATGTATTCAAATTTTCACAAAGACACCAAAAAGGATTAATGCTCAATTAAGCATCGCAACAAGAAGTCATGTCAGAGGACACACGAAATTATAGTATATGCTAAGGATTATTTAATATGCTGTTGGCTTGATTGCAAGATAAGTTTCAGATTTCTATAATTAATATGCGTTATAGTGAAATTTACAGTAGATGGTAAGCATTGAAAGCCGCAGTGTGAAACTTAAACCCATTAAAACCACCGCTTAGGAATGAATGGAAAAGATTTCCACTTCCGGTAAGGGAGCGGAAATATCAAAACAATAAGAATTCTTGCTCAAGGAGCAAGATATTCCGCTTTTAGCAACTTTCGCTAAGGGAGCAAAATATTGCTTCCATTAAAACCACCGCTTAGGAATGAATGGAGAAAATTTCCACTTCATTTCAGTAATCAGGAGAGATGAGATGAGAACAGATAGGCTTAATACCTAGTGGACTAGCTTCTTCTAACCCGGAAAGCATAAGCGTCAATAAGGGAGAATGGGTGATACTGAAGGGGATTAGAGCGGGGGTGAGATTAATGGTAAATTTTGTGGCCAGGGTCGTGAAAGCCGCGATTATAGAAGGTGCGATGAATAAAATAATATTAATAATATTTTATTTCTTATTGATAAATTATGTTATGTTCTTATTCAATATAGTTTAGTATAACATACTTGCATTTCGTGCACCTTGCAATGACTTTGCATGGATTGGAACTTATACGCCAGTTACCGATCAAGTGTCCATTCGAAAAATATAGTTGAAAAAAGTGATGTCGAAATGATGTTACGAAAACAGCATCAAACAAAATACGATTAAAAGTGAAAGCCCCAAAGAAGATGCATGGTATAATATCATGACATTCTCATATTTAGTTTATAAGCTTATAGATCACACTAATACTGGTGATCACAGTTTTCTAATTTTTTTAGAATTGATCTGTATATTATTTATACGATATACGCTCTATATAAAATAAACAAACATAATCTTTGGTATTCTTGCTTACCATTCAAATTGAAAGTTAGGCCGTCTCTCATTATACTGATACTTCTATATATAGGCAGAATGTAGAAGATAAAACATGTATTTATTTGGCATCTGTTTTTATTCTTTTTTATTTTAATATTATACATTCAGTTACTATTTAGGTTTATCATTATTCAAAAAATCGTTCAAATCGGTTTTTTTAAGGTTGGTACAGCACACACATATGGTACTGAAAGAGAAAAAATATGTTTAAAAGTTCTTACTTACGTTGAAAATATATATATGTATGTAACATATAGTGTTGCAGTATCGGATATGGATCTGTTATTTGAAAATAAACGGACTCTAGTTTCTAACAAATTTTTAAACTATTATTCGATTAAATTTTTAAATTCGTTAGATGTTTCTATAGTTCCATTGGACAAATTGTCACTTCAAGTTGTAACTAAATTGTCAAATGGAACTAGATAAGTTGTCAGAAAAAACGAATTCCAAAAGTGATTGAAGAAACGATTCCATGTGGAAACATTTTAATAAATACTATTGTAATGCAACGCATTTCTATTATTTACCTAGGTTATAAAACCAACTCGACCGATGTCTTACTACATCTCGGCAGCTAAAATCGTAAACGTGTTTAGTCCATTTCTTATCTAAAACGAAATTTTGATGAAGGTTTAAAATATAAAAAATATAAAATTTATCTTCAATTACAAAGTGAGTCAGTCTACAGAACCAAAAAAAAAGTGTGCTAAGTCCAACAAAAAGTAATTAACAAAATATGGTACTGTTCTTTCTCTATAGTTCAAATTTATATAAGAAGTATAAGTTCAAAATTATTTCCAATCTTAAGAAAAAAAGAATTTTTTAAAATATTTTCAAATAAATTAAAAAACCAAAAATATGTTTTTTCAAATATTTATGTTTAAATTGTCTTAGGGCCATGTTATGCAGAGTGTCTCGGGCACGGCAAATTACGCTCTTTCGGGCTATGCCGAAAATGCATGTTATGCAGAGTGTCACATCAGTATTGCCAATTTTGTATTTTTACTACTTCTTGGTTGTGCCTAAATTTAAAAGGAAATTTAGATAGGCTCACTTTCAATTTACCACCAAAAATAACTAGCAAGAAAAACCTCCTAGAGGATGTAATACTATTAATTTATTATTATATTATCTTATAACAATTGTGTACAGTACTTACGCCTTTCATTGAAATCGGAAATTGTAATAATTATATTATTAGCGATTTATAAAAAAAATGCTGTGTTGCTTACTGCCATCTTTTCTCCAAAACGTACTAGAATTGTAGTAGTTTGCTCCTAAAAGGCGCAAATTTTGAAATTTATTACTAAACAACACTGTTTTGCCTTAGTGCCGGGGCACAAATACGCCGGCTCTCATGCCGGAGTTTGAACGGCCATATTGTTTTTTCTCTCATTCTCAAATTTGAAATTTGCATTGAAAACAACAACAATTGTACTCATGCCGTGCCCGAGACACTCTGCATAACATGGCCCTTATAGTTGAATTATTTATGATGAGAAAAGTTTACAGATTGAAAAATCTGATTGCTTTGTAGTCAAAAATAATAAATTATCGAAGTGTGACAAAAATTTATTCTGAAAAACATAGAGAGGAAAGTACTAGGCATTACAAATAAATAAAGGATTTAAAAAACGAGACATTAAATGTTTACAAGATAGTGATGTCGACACTATGACATCACAGTTTTATTCACAAAGAACTGATGGCAGAAAACAAAAAAATATTTGAACAATTTTGTCTGATAATCTGAAATTAAAACTGAGATTATATATGTACTTTGATTGAATCAATTGAAGCTGCAAGGTCCCGACATTGAACAGTATATCTAGAGTCCCAAAGAAGCAGCAGTTTTCAATCATATTAAAGTATAAAATAAAATTAAGTATGCATATACCTACTGTGCTCAATTGAATGTAAAAACCTCTGATTTCAAAACAAGACTATGTCCAGAAAGACAATCCTCTTCCTCTCCCCCAAATAATATCTTTTGCCCTAATGAAGATTAAAAACAACTCTACCGAATCTTAAAGGAAATAATAAGTCTAAGAAAAATTATTTATGTGACGATGGGTATGCTTATCAAAAACCTAATGGTGTTATGAATAATGCATTGCTTGATGTATGACTTATTCAGAGAGTTATAATTGAACAGAAGATACTTCAAACTTAATGGATGTAGACAGCTTAGTATGTTATGTTTTATTGCTCGTAGTGTTGCCATATAACGTTTACCTATAGCTTAAAATTTATTAAGATTTCCGGTAAGGGAGCGGAAATATCAAAACAATATGAATTCTCGCTCAGGAGCAAGATATTCCGCTTTTAGCAACTTTCGCTAAGGGAGCAAAATATTGTTTCCCGTTAAAGTCTGAAGATCGATCTCAACTAATAACCTTATTCAAATTCATTTTGTTTTTGTACAATTTTCTTAGGACTTTTAGTCTCGTTATAATGTAATTATTTTACTTAACATAACTTCTTTAATATAAAATTCTACTCAACATAACTTTCTTATCGTGATTTTTTTTATATAAATCGACCTTCACATAACTTATTAGAATACACCACAATGTTTACATATAAAAAGATACACAAAAATTCCGGAACCGTACGATGTTGATTATTTGGATCATGCTTGGTTTGAAACATTTCTCAACATTCAATTTTGAAGAATCTTATTGGTCGTCCCATTAGCAATACTAAAGTAACAGACATTTGAGCCTTAAAATACATATTGAATTGTGAAATATTTTTTAAACTAGGATTTCAAGATTCATGCAGAACTCCTCCTCGATGGAGCGATAGTGTGGTTTAACTCCACCAAAAACGACGACAAATCATAACAAGGAAATACATAGCTTATCATATTCGAACCTGGTTTGCTCAAGCTTAATCAAATTTTTCGATGGCTTGCCTCGTTCAAAATTCGTTGCTTTATAAATATTAAAAAGTCTTTAATACTTATAATTAATTAATTAAGTTGGTGCTTTTAAAACCTAATATAAAGTCACTCATAATTTCAAGTTGCAAATAGTGCACAGTGCAACAATAATATTTTAGAAAAAGTTTATGAGTCGTTTAAGAGTTGTTATAAAAGTCATCAATATATTGTTAGAATAATGGCACAGAAACAGAATTTAAGGCTTCACAAAATATTAAAAATCAAAACATTAAACAAGTTTCTTTCGTTTCCTGAATAATTTTAAAAAAAATTTGACATAACGCCTTTTGACTCTTACCCAACGGATTGTGACGTACATTTTAATATTAAAACTATCTTGACGACATCTGCACCACATTTTTATTCATTTTTCTTCAACTCATATAAGAAGCATTCAAATTATGTATCAATATTGAAAAAGCCTTAATATGGACTATACAACTAATGAAATGGAAGTCGAAAAAATTATGGCTAAGTATTTCAGTTCCATTACTAGTACACGGTCTAAGTATGTTTGTTTGCATTGTACATCAGTTTATTCAAACCTGTATTTTATATTTTCTACAACATGATAAAGACTAATTATATAGTAAGAATTGATTAAAGTTCATATTTAGCAATTTGAATTGTTTTCAAAGTGTCATGGGAGAGGCCGAGTTCTTGTTAAGATCCATGAAGCGTTCAACGTATTCATCGAGTTCTTTGTCGAGCTGTTCGCGCAACTTAGCACGCTCATTACCATAATTATTACGCTTACTGTAGAAGCACGCCAGGCATACATTGCGTTTCTCTGGCAACTGATGAACGTGCATTTTACGACCATCCAACCTAACATTATTAAAGCAACTGACCGCAGTACTAGCAGCCCGTTGGGTTTTATATACGACCTCTGCCATTCCTGTTGTAAATGAAATATATTAATACATATTCAAAAGTAGACATTATATTAAGCGAAATTTTGTATTACCTAAAGAGTCGCCTTTTTGGTCATAGTAGACAGAAGACTCTTTAATTGGACCACATTCTTTAAATAGAGTCTGGAGATCTATATCATCGACATCGAATGAAAGGTTAGAAATACCGATACGTGTTGTAGAAGCCTTCATAGGTTTGAAACGCTAAAAATGTTAAGGTTTTTTTTATTAATCTTATAAGCTATAAAAATAAATAATTTAAAGTTATGGTTTGATATTTGTGAAGAAAGAATTTATTATAAAATTATTAAGGAAAAAAGTTCCTACCCGTATTGCAAACTTTTGATAGGGCTTTCTTGCTATAACACGTCTTACACTTTTATACTGTCCGCCACGACGTTGAAAACGTTGGGCGTGTTGGTTGCGTACAGCGCCCTGATTCTTTTGAGCCTCGATAATCTCATCGAGTGACATAGTTAAAGCATTTAACTGAAAATGTTCTGCATCCATTATAACCACTTTTTTGAGCAAGCCTTGTGAACGCTCTAAACTTTCTGTAAGAAAAAAAATTTATTTCGATATTGCCACGTAGTTAAGATATTAATTTCATTGATGCCAATAAAACAAAATTTTTCTTATGACAGAACAAGTAAAATGTTACCATCATGTGTTTTGAAAACAAATTTATGGTGTATTCTATATTCTAATCTTACACTATCCTGGGAATCGATTCCTTAACTGGAAAAACAATTTTGCGCACATACACTTCAGTTAATACAATTGAGAAATAGACCTACTATAGTAATACGAAATCAAAAATTTATTTAAAGTAAAGTCAACGCCTACGTATATAAAACTTCAAGAATATCTAAACTACATATAAAAAGTACCAATAGGTTGCTTCAAATGATTTGGGTACAACTTTTTCCATATCATATATATCATATCTTATATAGTCGTTGGTGGGTAGTCAATAGTCAATAGTTTTTCTATGAAAAGGCGGTCAATTTATTCTCATAACATGTTTTTTATATTTTCTATAAATTTATTTGTAATATTAATTTTTGAAATTTTTAAAGTTCTCTGCTTTGTTTATTGTCTGGACAAATAAAAACTGAATATGACATTTAACATAAATAATTTTTTTTATTTTGTTCATATATATAGATATACAGAAAATATTTCAAGGTCTTGTTTCATACATTGGGGATATTAATCTGATTAAAAATTATTAAAAAATTACAAAAAAACGCCTGTCATATTTGCTGTGGGTCTGTTAGAGATCGTATGTAGTGGTTGTTTAGGTTGTACTGATACGCGAGCCTTGTACAACGAAGAAAACTTACACTGCAATAATTAGTCCTTGTGATGATACATTGTGTGATACGTTGTTCATATGTCAGACCAGCATAAGCACCAAAGCGCTTAAATAGTCAGTGTATAGCAGATATCGAATAAAATATGTATAACTCACTCATAACTCTCTCTCTCTCTCTCTCTCTCTCTCTCTCTCCCAACTTTATATGCCTAAAATTTAAACTATTTACCATATATTCGTATATAATGCTAGCATGTAATCAAAAAATTAAACTTTAGAATTAATGTGAGCTTCACAAATGTTTCTGGTTTTTTTTTTGAAACAAGGTTAGACCAAAAATCAGATCTCGTTGAACTCCATATATTTGAATAATACTCATAAGATGACATCGCAATGCTAATTGGCTAATGAACGCTGGGTCTGAGCTTCAAATTTGGCAGGGCATCAGTTTAATTCCTGATACTTACAGTCTCAAAACATTATTTACAAATAATTAAATACAATAATTATTTTCAAGACCTCTAATGATGGGTATTTGGCAATATTCCAAACAAAAATTCAATTAATTAGAATAATATAAAAGAATTTTTGTTGTTGTAGTTCACTACTTTTCCAAAAACATCTTTATTAACAAATTTATCAAACCAAAAACAAATCCTCACATCACAATACCAATAAGGTAGAATATAAATATTTCGCCTATTAAAAACGAAACTGGATTCATAATATGATCAATGTTTCCCTTTCTTCTGAGGTATGCTCTCTTCACATCCGACTTTTCCAATTCATAGCCCACATACAAGTTCTAATAGTTAAGTATATCTTTCTCGGTAATTCGATCCATCGAATTTAATAACTTACTTTCCATATCAGCATTGGCAATCATGTTGCGCTCATCATATAAGGCCTTGTTGCAGGATACATAATATAATATATATAATAAACAAACGAACACGTAAAATTCCTCGATTACTTAAGGAACTCGCACTCGAAACTCTCATTTAAAAAGATCACTTTAGGAGCGTACACAGTGCATTCAGTGGAATATTCATCTCCGTGCTACAACGTCAATAAGCCGTCTCTTAGGAATTAAATAATTTAGTTAAATAAAATAGTGAAATTATTATTGCTGTACTTTGTGTATAATTAATATATACTATTTCTACTAAAACCTATTTATTGGAGTCAGTAAGGACTTGATACAACTTTGATAATAATTCAAATTTTTCCGTTTCCTTTTCATGGTCAGCAACTCGGTCTGGGTGGACTTTCAAATACAATTTATAATATGTCTTTTTAATCTGACAATTTGTAGAGATTTTTGGAATATCAAATAATTTATAAATATATCTAGTATCGAACAGATTTTCGCAACTTCTCTTTTATCAAACGAACCAATCAAACTCCAAATACACAAAACTTGCAGTAAACTTGCGGTAAACTTGCGATTACTTAAACTGATTTAGTGTTGCAACTGACATAGAACTGACATACAGGAAAATGAAGTTAATTGCTTTATGTATATGTAACTATTTTCGTTTTATTATTATTATGTTAAAAATTTTGTTATTAAAATAATCATTTCTAAATGACTAAAGTTGAAGACAATTTTATAATAACCACAAAAAATATCGAATTAGATGTTTTGTCATAGAACTAAAATGAAATTCATAATCAAAAAAATGTTATTCATATATTTCTATAAAATTAGTTAAATTTTAATGTTAGGATATCAGTCATATGATTATTTTATTGTTGTCAAAATGAACTTATTCTAATACAGGCAATTCCAACGCCCTTATTTGAGTAGGGTCAGTGCAAGCGCTGGAGTCTCGAACAGTCTTTGTGTTCAAAAATACACTCTAGCTAGTTTTAGTTGTTTAAATGGAGTGCTGTCGACAAATTTGTAATATAGTTAAGAAAAAAATAACAACATCAGCAACATCACAAACAGAAAATAACAATGGCATGAAAAATTGCACTACGTCAGTATAACAGCTCTTTTCAAACAAAGAACACTTGCGTTCCCGAACCCAAAAACTTGTACTAAACTATAAGTTTTAAATGAATTTTGATTCAGAGTTTGAAGGCGTTTAATTGCGTTGGTGACATTGTTCACCATCAATACTACAAACGCGATGAAGCGATTGTTAGGATCATTACTTAATGTTGTAAGTCCACTATATATATATCTCTGGTGTCTAATATTTTCCACAACGTTTGGCATGTCAATATATTTCTCTCCCGTACTGTTGATACGAGAGATAATCGCCAAACCAAACTCATGACAAACTCATAAAACCCAGTAGTTGGACTTTATTGGTAGAATAGACGTACCCAAATGGACTTTGTCGGAACCATTATTTTTTGTTTATAATAATTTTTTATGAACTTAAAAGATGAAAATTTAAGTTTCTGGTTTTTAGTACATTGAATGCACAAAAATCTTGAGTGTTAAAACAGTAGAGTCTTCAAGAAATGAACTTCCAATTTAAATATTACTTCAAACAGTCACAGATATATCTTATTTATCAAAGTACACAATTTTCCTTTTCTCTTTTTTGGAATTATTTTCGGTTGCAGTTTGTGAATCATAGTCAATAATTATGTACATCATTAAACAAAAATTCCGAATCGGAAGTTTCTTGCAAGGCGAATTTGTAAATTTTTGTGTGTATTTAATTTGCGGGTCCTGAATGCCCTGGAATCCACAAAATATGTCAAAAATTAAACAAAAACTTTAAATGCAAAAATGCAGTTGTTGCACAACACAAATGTCAAGGAAAATGCAATAACGAAAATGTTTGAAACTCGTTTGAATCTGTTACTTTTGTTGTAAATATTACAGATTATCCATTGCATGGTCCTGATTTGAGAACACTTTTTCAGTGTATTTTATGGCCTGTACAACTACTGAACATGTGACATTTATGAAAACTTGCCATAGAAATGATGATTCTTTAGTAGGTACATTTCGTGCATCATAAGAAGATCATATGGTCGACATAATTGCTCATAATTCACAATTGTATAGGCAAAACCGTGAATAAATTTGAAGAAACTCTACACGTGGTATGTACCAAATCCTTAACAGATCACATCGCTAAAAATATTGGCGTTGTTATGGAAAAGGTAGAAGAATACGTCAAACAGATGCAGATTAAATGCTCAGACAGCAGCGTTGGATGACAATTTCTCGCATCGAATTTTCTTCGGATGCATCTAATATTTTACTGGGTGGTTAAATAAATATAAACCATCCGGTTCTTGGAACAGAGAAAGTCCACAAGTTTGGTGAAATACTATTCTATCCGCACAAAATCAATGTACGCTGTGATTTTCATTTCAGGCATATTATAAATGCCAAGTTTCGTACAAGCAAAGGCCAGTTATATTTGGGTTATATATGCTGTAATAGCTCGGTTTGCGAAAGAATCTTACTCTGTTGGATATTTTGTGGAGAACTTTTGAGTCATGTAAAATACACTTGACTAAAGTATCAACCACAAGTGTAGTTGGCTTACATACATTAAAGTGTTTAACCCCGACATCACATTTCGAATAATAATAATACTTGATTGTAACTCTCAATTAGTTTAAAATTATAATGGCAACCGTTTTATTTCTATTTTAATAAAAGTTTTTAATTCCATACCTGATGAACTGCTGACTAACCGAGCTCTATTGCGTTTAAAGTCAATATAAATGTTTCTATTTCAATTGTTTCTATTTTACACATTTCTATGCAAGTTATAATGATTTTAAAATATAAATATATAAATATACATATCCGTTGGAAGAGTTCTGTGCCTGACTGAATTCTTATAGAAATAAAATATTTATTTAATATAGCTTGACTTTCAACGACAGAAAAATATTGATGATTATTATATTATTATAACACCATATGGGTATTTAAACTGTTATAAAAATAATAAGTTCGAGTATTACATACATTAAAAAATTTTTTTTGCAGTGCATTATCTATTGTAGAATAAATAAGCCTCCAGTAACAAAATTTTAAAAGCATCCGTTCAAAATACCCATTGCAATCGCTTAACTTCCTGCATATTATAAATACTTGCAGACTATATACCAAATTTTTCGAATCTTCAATAGATTTGTAATTTATTTATCAGTCATGAAATAAAGCAATTCTTAATATATAATATATGATAATATTTGCATACGTAGTTCCGCAGTTAATACTAATTTTCCGAGTTCAAAAATTTATTAGTTCATTTGTGAAAATTTTTAAGTCCAGAACTTAAACCTGACTAGGTCTTTTTCTTTTGTTGTTTCTTAACTTTTTTTTTATTATTTTTCTCTCGCTCCTGTTTTTTTATTTCTCTTTCAGCGCTCCGTATCATTTTCTGGTTGTAGGGAGTGTTTGCTGATTCCTCCTCATTTTTATCTACTTTTGAAAAACCCATGGAGTTTTGTATCCATTGCCAAAATCGAT